CTCAAATGCCCTACAGTTTTCACTCATTGGCCTATTCCTAAGCCATTGAACTCAAGTTCCCTGCCTGTTCTGAGTTTCAGAACTCTCTTGCCAGGGCAAGGTATCACTTCAAAATACAAACTTTCCTTGTCTTCTAAATGTGAAGTAGCCAAGAGAAACAATTAAAACTGAAAAATCTATTGTTTGTAGAACTTGTACTTGCAAAAAGATACAGCTGCAGTCTGCTGTTGAATTTCTAAAGCTATATATGTGTTATGTGTTTTGTGTTTTATGTTCTTAGGAGCTGAACAAATGTGCAAACTGGTGATTCAAGTTGGTCAGTTGACCTAAAATAAAACAAAGAACTGCAGATGCTGGAGGTCTGAAACAAAAACAGAATTTGCTGGAGAAATTCAGCAGGTCTGGCTGCATCCATGGGGAGAAAAGAGTTGTTGTTTCTAGTCTTCATCAGAACTGATAGCAGCTAGCCTGACGTTCATTGGTGGGGTCATGATCGGGTGTGGATAGGAGGAGATGTCAGAGCTGGTGCTCACCCTCCCAGGCCATTCTGTCTACCACTGTCACCAACCTCATCTCAGTCATGCCTGTCTCATTGTGGGGTACCTGAAACATTTCTTGTTCCAATCTTATTCAGGCCACCACTTTAAAACTCTTGCTCCAGTCAATCAATGACATCATTGGTGCTGTTTCCCTCTCATTTGGAATTGGAAAAAATTATCAATTGCACTTCATTTTCCACCCTGCCCTCACCCTCACCTAATCCATCTCTGACTCCTCCCTTCCCTTCCTCAATATCTGTGTTTCCCTTTCTGCAGTTAGGCTGGCCACTGAAATGCATGCAAATCCACCAACTCCCACAGTTACCCTGCTTACTGTAAGGAATCCATCCCATTCTCCCAATTTTTTGGTCTCGGTTGCATCTATTCTGATGATGCCTTCTGCAAGGGCCCCATAAATGTCCACCTTTTTTCCTCAACTAAGGATTTCCTGCTCCTGTGGTTGACAGCACCCTTAGGCAAGATCAACTCACCTCTTGCCCTTCTGCTGTTACCCCTTGTCGTCCCTCCCATAACAGCAATAGGGCCCCCCACATCCTCCACATCCAAAGGGTTTTAAGTTGCCATTTCCACCACTTCGAGCAGGATGCCTCAACCAGATGCATTCCCTTCCCCTCCCTGGTCAGCATTTCCCTGGAATATAAAATAAAAACAAAGAACAATACAGCAAACAAACAGGTCCTTCAGCCCTCCAAGCCTGCGCCAACACATTTTGCCCTTCCAAAGTAAAACTGCCTTCACTTACAATATCCCTCCATTCTGTTCCTGTTTTATATATTTATCCAGGTGCTTCTTGAATGTTGCTATTGTGTCTGCTTCCACAAACTACCTCTGGCAACGCATTCCAGGCACTCACCGCCCTTTGTGTGAAAAACGTGCCTCGCACATCCCTTTTAAACTTCGCTCCTCGCACCTTGAACCGGTGTCCTCCAGTAATTGACCCCTCCACCCTGGGAAAAAGCCTCATACTTTCCACTCTATCCATGCCATTCACAATCTTTTAAACTTCTCTCGGGTTGTCCCCTCAACCTCCTGCGTTCCAATAAAAACAAACCCAGTCTATCCAGCCTTCCTTCATAGCTAAAACTCCAACCCCGCAACCTCCCATACCAGGCAACATCCTGGCATACCTTTTCTGTACTCTCTCCAAAGCATCCACATCCCTCTGGTAGTGTGGTGACCAGAATTATATGCAGAATCTCTCCCTCTTGGACACCCTTGTCCACTCCTTCTCCCGACACATCCCCACAGATTGCTTAGGAAGGTACCTAGAAGATGTAACACCTGTCTGCTTACCTTCATTCAATCTAGCTTATTGTATTGATTGCTCACAAGGTGATCCCTCCTATACTGGGGAGATGAAACACAAACTGGGTGGCCATTTTTTTTTTTTTTTTGCTGAACATCTATGCTCTGTCCTTTTAAAAATGCCTCCAAGCTTCCAGTTGCCTGTCACTTCAACACACTGCCATATTTCTGTCTCAGACCTGCTGAAGTGCTCTGAGAGGCTCAGCAGAAGCATGAAGGACAATGTCTTATCTTTCGCTTTTGGACCCTGTGACCTCTACAAATGAGCATTGAGTTCACTAACTTTAGAGTCTGATTATGTTCTTCCTTTTTTTTTTGACCTACCACCACCCTGACACTCAGGTCGTGGCATGGATTGCTTTCAGCACAGCTTACCCATTCTGTGCTACTTTTGTCTCTCATTATCACTTTTATTCAGCTTTTCAACTATCAAAAATCCCTTTGTCTGCCTACCCTCTTCACCTCATGCTGTTTCTCGTGCTTCCCCCCCCCCCCCCCTCCTGCCCCTCCTGCACGCGTGTGTGCTCCTCCCCCTCTCCTCTCCTGCACTTGCGCATCCCCTATTACCCCCTTCTCCTGTGTGCACGCACCCCCTCCCCTCCCTTCCCCTTTCCTCTTTGGC